AGGGTCTTTTAAGACAAGGATTGTCTGACACCTCTACCTACCCACCCACCCAGTGCCTCTTAGAGGGAAAGAATTGGCCCTGGGTCAGCCTCCAGGACCTTCCCCTTCCAGGAGCCAAGGTAGAAGAGGAATGGCTGTGACTGCCCGTCCGGGGGGGCAGGGAGTGTTCCTGGCCAGGGGGAAAGGGGTCACTCCTGTGTGGAGGTGATTGGCTTGGGGTGGGAAGGGCAGGCTTGGAAGGGCTGCCAGCCCAGCTGCCCCTCCTGGCCCTGTCCTTCCCCAGCTTAGATGTGGCCAGAGCACTCTAACCCTATCTCTCCCTCTTCTGGCAGCCCTGAAGGGCAGTGTTCAGGGACCCCAAAGGCCTGATGGGTCTCTCCCTCTCTCCCCTGCTCCCACAGCATTCACAGCGACAGGCGCCTCCTCTGCCAACCGGTTTGTCAGCATCGGACCCCGGGACGGCAACTTTCTGAACATCCCACAGCAGTCTCAGGTAAGAGGCCGGCACAGCCCGCGGTTCCACGGTGCCTGCGCCTGCGTGGTGCTGGAGAGACCAGCGAGCAGCCTTGAGCTGGGGCAGTTTGGTGTTTGGGAGCAGGCTGGGTCCTTTAGCCAATCAGGGAAAGGAAGCCAGAGTGGAGTTGGAGGGCCCAGGCTTTTCCCTGCGCCCAGCTGAGCCTGCCTCCCCAGGCAGCCCCCAGGCTCCCTGGCTAATCAGCTAATTGGATAATTAGCTCTGACAGCCCGGCCCTGGGGAAGGCTGCCAAGGACCCAGGGCTGGAGGCGCTCTGGGTCAGGCCTGGTGGAAGATGGAAGCCTGGAACCGAGGCCTGCCTCTGCTTTCTCCCTGATCCGACTCCCTGCTCCAGCGGGCAGTTCTGGCCCCCAGCCTTCCTCTCTTCCTTAGCTTTGGGTGGGCTTGGCCAAGGACCGGGGAGGACAGAAGAGTTTGAGGGGGTTGCGTGCCTGCAGAATTTGGCACCAAGGCCAGGGCAGAGCCTCCTGCCGCCTGAGGGGCTCCTCCCCCGAGTCCAGATGAATCCCGTTAGAGGGGAGGCCAGGCTGCAGTGCCCCCATGCGGCTCTGCCCCGCTGACACCACCCTTCGTTGTCACAAGGACTGGCCCCTGAGCTGTCCCGCTGGAGGTCTTGGGGTTCAGCTTTCCACGTGCACGTGTGCTCAGGCGTGCACATACGCAGGCCTTCCCAGGCTCGGTCCTCTGGATAGGCCCACAGAGGCAGGGCCCTGGGTGCAGGAAGGACTAGCTCACCTACAAAGCAGATGCGTTTTTGAAAGATAGGTGGTTTTTTCCAACGTAGGAAAAAGAAGGAAAAGTCTCTTTCTTTTGCAAACTTGACCAAAAACGCTGCCTTGTGAGCCTGCAGCCTTTGAGAGGCCCCAGAGCTTGAGCTTCCTCAGCCCGGGAAATCCGCCTCTGGCCAAAGCCTCTTCAGGATCCCGCTCCAAGTCTGCTTTGAGGCCAGAGAAAGTTGCTGGATGGAAGTTTTGTGTGTGTGGTTTGAGGTTAGGTTCCCCCCCCCTTTTTCCTTTCCCTCCCTCAAAGGGGGAAAAAAAGGCAAAAAACTTTGTCAAACTTCAAACTTCAGAGCTCCCTAGTGGCAAGGAGGGGAGGGGAAGAGAACTTCACCCCTTTCCAGCTTCCCACCCCCTTTCCCCAGAGTCACGTCTGACCCGTCTGGTTTCCAGGAGCAACCAGACATGATGTAACACCCAGATGAACTTGAACTTGGGGGTGTTGAGAAGAAAAACAATGGCTCTGAGCAGGGGCTGGAGCCAGCCCCCTCCACTCTGTGCCAGGGAGGCCGAGGCAGCCCTGCTGGCAGAGGGTGAGAGGGGGTGCCAGAGGAAGGGACACCAGGCGGGCCACTCCCCTGGCTCTGGGCTGGCACTAAGGCGACATGGCCCCCTCCAGCCCTCCCTCCTTCCCTCCCACTGCCCTTGCAGCCCAACTGCAGCTCCGGAGCTTGCTCTGGGACCGGGCCCTGAAGCTCCCCGCTCGCCTGCCCGCTCACTCCAGCTCTTGCTGCTGCTCTCAGTCCTCCTCCCTCCTCCCCCTCCTCCTCCCCCTCCCCTCCCCCTCCTCCTCTTTTTTCTCCCTTGTTCCACTTGCTGTGCTCACTTTGCTTAGAGATGTTGGAGCCCAATCAAAGTTTGAGGCAAGTTGGGGAAACAATTTTTTTTTCCTCCCTGATGTTAAAGTTTGTGCCTTGGGGGCCCCTGAACAGGCAGGTGTGTCCACAGGGGGAGGACTGGAGCTGGACAAGCCAGCCCTGGAGCCCTTGGGCTGGGGGCAGGCGGCGGCTGCACGGGTGTGTGGGGGGGTACAGTGAGGGGTGGTTACCACAGTAACCAGTGACTTTAGCTGATCTCTGGAGCACCAGATGGAGAGAGAACAATAGAATGAGGGAAGAAAAGAGAATTTTAGTAATTTTGTCATTCCCTGGGCAGCGCTTTTTACTTCGTTTTAATCAGTTTTGGACCTGGCTCAGGAAGCAGGGAGGGGCGAGCAGAAAAGGACCCTCCGGGTTTGGCAGCAGATCCCCCCTCCCGTCTTGGGATCCTTGGGGGGTGTCGGGGAGCCCCCTTGGAGTTTCCTTTGTCCCTAACTCCAGTTCTAGAAAAGACTCCCTCCCTCCCCTGAGGAAAGCCCACCGTCTTGGAGCATTAGCAGCTGTGTCTCCTCCATTCAGCGCTGGGGACCCCAGGGCCTTGGCCAGCTTTCTCTAAGGAAAGGGGACTCACACCAGAGCCAGAGCCTCCCCTCAGGTAGAGGTTTAGGCTTCAGCAGTCTCCACCTTGACAGAAGAGTCCAGGAGAACCTCGTGGCCTCACGCTTGCAGCTCCCTGCCGCAGGCCAGGACCAGACACCCAGGAGTCGGCTGCTGACCTGGCCCTCTGCTGCTCATGTTGGGCACACAGAAAGTTTGGGCTTTTGTCAGGCCCCATGCACCTGGCTGGCCAGTAGTCAGTTGATGAGGTTGGGTGTGTGGCAGGTGCTCCCCAGTCCCAAGGGGGTGGACCCCTCGCTGTTGTGTACGTTGCCCAGCCGGAGCGAGAAGGTTGGCATCTCTGCTTGCTCAGTACGCACTAGCCTCAGCCCCACAACATTCCCAGATGTCCCTGACCTGTCGGTTCCAGTGTGGTCACTCCCGACCACATGTGGCTACTGAAATGTATGAACTGTAAATAAAAAGAAAAGGTTAGTTCCTCAGTCACAGAAGCCACATATAAAGTGGTCAGAAGCCACATGTGGCTCGAGGCTGTTGCCTTGGACAGCACAAAGTACAGGATATTTCCACGATGGCAGAAAGTTCTCGCTGACCCCAGAGGCTCTTTCCGACTTGAAAATTTGCTGTCTCCATTCTCATGGTGCTTTGCACCCTGACTTTCTAACCAGAACCCAAGCAGGGGGCTTGTCTGGTTTGCAGGCTTATTCAAAAGGGATTTTTGGAGATTTTGTCTGGACTTAGAACTGGCCTCATCTCCCAGACCTCCTTTCCGACATGGCCAGTGTGGTCCGTGACTCGGGCAGGAGTTGTGGCCACTTTAGCAGCAGGCCCCTTCTAATCCCTTTGGCTCCACACGTGTGTCTGAAGAAGGTGCCACAGCCATCTAGTGGGATTGTAGACCCCCCTGGGATGACCACAAGTGTGTGTGTGACATGGGGCGAGTTCCCTATTCTCCTTGGGCCTCAGCTTGTGTGCAGAGTTAGGGAGGAAGTGAGTGAGCCAGTACCCAGGGAGGATACTGCTGCCTGGCCCTTCAGGGCCCGAGTCTCTGACCTAGCACAAGAGAGAAGTTCAGAGGCTCCTTTTCAGGGACTCCTCTGTGGCCTAGCCTGTTACTTGTTGCAGTGATAACCAAAAGGCTTGAGGTCTCTGGTGGTTCAAACCCACCAGCCACTCCTCCGGAGAAAGGGGGACAATCTCCTCGCATTAAGATTTACAGCCTTGGAAACCCAATAATAACAGGTGACTTGAGTTCAGTATTTTGTCACTTTGATGCAAGTGTACCATCAGATTCGCCCAAGTGAGTTTTGTTTGTCACTTTGCTGCAAGGGTACATCGGATTTGCCCAAGCAGAGTAGATGGTCAGGGAGGGCGCAGAGCCCATCTCTGGACCTCATGTTGGGGCCAGGGCCTTTGGTCAACTGTGGGTGCTGTGGGTGCTGCAGGCGGTCAAGGCCTTGTCTATGGGGGAACCGCGCCCCCTGGTGACGTCTCGTGGGAAGCACTGTCAGCCCAGCTAGTCCCAGGTCCCAGTGTGTCTAGTGGCCCAAATGTGCAGGATTGTTGATGGTGGGCTGCAGTGTCCCCCCGCCCCCAGGCCTGGCACTGCTAGAGACCGAAGCCATGTGGTGCCCCGCGCCTTTCAGCCTGTGGGACCTTGGCTCAGGGTACAGACAGGAATTTTTGCTTCTAATCCAAAGCAACAGAAAGAGTATTAAGTAGAAGCTGGGCCACCCCACCCACTCTTGAGACCCCTTAAGGACCAAAGCCTCAGCCTGGCATCCTCCCCACCCTCTAGATCCCACACAAAGACTGAAACAATTAGAAACACGGCCAGATCCCAGGTCTGTGCCAGCGTTAGCCATGGGGTCCCACCCGCTGGGCGCAGTGCCCACGGGAAGGCCAGCTGGACTCGGTAGTACTGGGGGCAGGGTCTCAAGGGAGGTGGGATTCCCTTAGGAGATTGGAGAGAATGAGGGTGCAGCATTTCTCGGGGGGTGGCTGCCCAGCATCCTGAAACCCCCCTCCGCTTAGTCGTCTGGCTGGATGAGGGCTGCCCCACCTAGCCTCAGCATCTCCTGTGTTTTTTTTTGTCCCATTTCAGTCCTGGTTCCTCTGATAAGATCGACAAAAGAAAAGACAAAATAAAAAGAAGAGGTTCCTCAAAAGGGGGCAGAAGAAATTTTGTGACATGGAAAAATCCCCCAGCCCAGCCCCACCGAAAAGCAAAACTTAGACGACGTCGGCCACTCAGCCCTTCTCCTCTGGCCCAGGGCCCTCGCAGGCCCCCCAGAAGCAGCCCAGTTCTCGGAGAGCCCTCGAGGGGTCTCGGGTGGAGCTGTGCACCAGCAGCCAAGCAGAAAGAAACATACAAAACAGACTGTAAAAGACAAAACGAAAGGAAGGGATACAGAACTGCCTTCCTCCCCACCCATCCCGCCCTCGGGGAAGGAACAGAATCCCCAAACAAAGTGACCAGCACGGTTCTGAGGGCCTGCCCCTCACCCTTTCCCTTCCCGGGGGAACCCCACTTACCAACTTGGACCCAGAGGGGAAGAAAACAGCAGGTAGAGCCAGAGGGCTTGTCCCTCCAGTTACCCACTTTCTCTCACTGCCTCTTTCTTGGGTTGCTGTGGACTGAGAGATGCAGGGCCAGGACAGCCTCCAGTGCTCCCCACCCCACCCTCAGACTAAAAGAACCAAGGTGGGGAAGGGGTGCTCCCCAATGAGCCCTGAGTGGAGGGCGTTGGGCCACTCCATCCTGAGCAACTGAGGCAGTTCCTGGACCTGACCCTTCTTTAAGTCCACGGGGGAAGTCAGAATGCTCCTCAGGCCTCATTCTGCCTGATAGACCGCCCCCCCTTCCTTCTCTCCTCAAGCCAGGAGGGCCACCCTCCTGATGTGCGTTGAGTGAGGAGAGGCCACCCCCAGGTCTCCTTCACACCCCAGCCTGGAATATAGGTGCCCCCACTCTGCCCCACTAGTCCCTGTCAGGACCCCAGTACAGCCCTGCCTGAGGCTGGCGGGTGAAGAAGGGGCAAGTCAGCTGCGCTCAGTGCAGAAGACAAGGCCAAGGCCGCAGCCTGCACTAGGTAGGCGACCTTTGGGGGTTGTTGGGCGTCACACTTCTCACAAGTGTTTTGGAGCTTTCTCTGTCCCCCTTCCTCCACTACACCACCCCCTGGGCCACTTCTCTCTGGATTTTAGCTGTAATGTCTTTTACTCTTTATTTAGGGATGGGGCACCGTTTGGGTCTTTTGCCATTGCAATTGGGAACTCCATTTGAGCAACTTGGGAACAGTTTGGTAACACACCACAGGAAGTAGCTCCCCCCCACACAGCCCCATCCTCCCCAAGGGATAGTTGTGGGGGGCCTGTCCAGAGGGTCTTCAGAAGGCCCCCAGGAAGGAGGGGCGCTGAGTACCGAAGCCCCCACCTCCCTAGGGTGTGACCTGGCCCCTCTGGCGTGTCTTTCTGTGCCTTACTCCCTCCTCCCTGCGTCCTCCTGGGCCGCTTCTCCTCCTCCCTCTCCTCCTCCTCCCAGTGTTGTGCCTCTCTCTCTCTCTCTCATACTCTCTCTCTTTTTCTCTCTCTCTGTCTCTATGAAAACACAAAGCACAGGTCAGGATCCTCAAAATCAATCAATATTGTACCATGGAGGGCTGAGTTCTGGGCTTTATTTATTGTGAACCTAGTTTGTGAGACTGTGGCCCCAAGCAGGCAGGGTGGGGTGCATCTTGTAGGGACGCCTGAGTTTAAAGTGAGGCAGAGAGGCAGTATTGGGGTGGCACCCTCTCCCAGATGGAAGCCACAAGGTGGCTCCCCACTGGGAGGAGTTTTTATTGGCAATTGAAGGAAGCCCCACCATCCACTGTGCAGCCCTGGGGGCTTACCGGGACTGAGACAAAAGGGGGTAGGGGTTCCCCGTGGGAGCTGCCCTGGTATGGGAGGAGGGCTGGGGGTGGGGGGCCGGGGGGGGCCGGGGGGACCGGGCGTGACGCCTGGTCAAGTGCAATGATTTTTCAGTTTGGTTGGCTAAACAGGGTCAGAGCTGAAAGGGGAGCGAAAGGGACCCGGCCCAGCCACTCGTGCCCCTTTCCTCGGAAGACAATCGGGCCGCGCGCAGGTGCGACGGAGCCTGCGGGAGCCGGGGGTCCTGCGTCCTTGTGCACCGTGAGCGCCCGAGGTCCAGGTCCGAAGCTGCAGGCCAGCTGGGCGGCCGGGGCGAGCCCAGCCAGGGGCTGCACGGGGCGAACGTTGCTTAACCAAGTTGGGGCAAGCGAGGGGCAACTAGGGCGACAGGAAATGTGGGGACGTGTTAGAAGAGAGAGAGAAAAAGAAAAAAAAACACCCCACAAAAATATATATGGGGAAATTAACTTTTTTTTTTTTCATTGAACCAAGTGCAATGCATCGGAGAGTTTTCCTATCTTTGTATGTTAAGAGATTGTTAAGGAAAAAAAAATTCTATTTTTGTTGTAATGTCCTCGCGGCTCTGGGGACGCTAAAGAACCGGGCCTGCCCCGCCCTGCGCGGGCAACGAAAGCTGAGTGCTTTTCCTTTTTTTTTTTTTTTTTTTTTTTTTTTTTTTTTTTGGTTCGTTTTCAGTTTATTTTTTTTTTAAGTCGTTTTTCCTGCGTTGACGAGGATGGTCTGGGGTTTTTATTTGTTTTGTTGTTCGTTCTTGGTTTCGGTGGGAGGGCTGAAGGAAACGTTCACATTTTAGAGCTAAAACAAAATAACCAACACACACGATCAAAAAAGGAAAAGGACGAGAGAAACATTTTAAAAATAAAAACCCTGGTGCTTTTTACATTTTAAAGTACTTTGAAGAACCCCACAGACTATTATACATAAGTTTATGAATCAGTTAAATATCCAGCACTTGTTAGGAACACGCATATCCCTTTGTTGAGTTTAACGGAACGGGACAGCGGCGTGCGCCCCGGCTGCTGGGCTGCTCCGGCCGCGGGTCTCCCCGGGCGCCCCTCCCCTGGGCCCAGCGCCCCTTCCTCGACCCCTCCCGCTCGGGCACCGGGGGGCGCGATGGGGATCCCCGCAGAGGTCAATGCCAACGAACAAAGTCCCCCCTCCCCCGCCCCCGAGCGCCCTTCTTTGAGCCAGATGCCAACTTGACCCTCACCAGCATTATCGGGAGCGCGCTCAGCAAGTTGGTAGATTCCTCCCTACCCACCCCTCCCGGCGCCCCCCTCAACATCACTCCTCCCATCCCCGGTCCGCTCCGGGGAGCGCGGGGCAGGCTCGATGCTCCAGGAACAGGACCGGCCATGCTGACGATGGATCTGGATCGGCCCAGACCCACGCACGCACGCGGCCCGCACACAGCCCCCCACCCCGCAACCAGCCTGTCAACTGCCTTACACACCCGCCCCCCGCGCTGGCCGGCAGACCTAGTGCCTTGTTCTCTCACTCCAGTGCTGGCGGAGCGGACACCGCGCTCTGGGTCCCAGAGGGGCCGGGTGGCTCAGACTACCCACCACTTCCCCACCCCAACCGTGCTGAACGAACCCCCAACCCCGGGACACGAGAGAAAAATTAAAAGGAGCAATAAAGTAACGAGAACTTTCGTCCCCCAATCGAGAGCCCGAGGGGCACCCCAGCCCCGCCTCTGCTCCCCCCTACTCCCTCCACCACCACCCCCGGGGCGCCCCCTCCCCCCCATCAGCCAGCCTGGGCCAGCCCCACTGCGGCCCCCCTCCCCTTCCCCGGGAGATCCGTGCGCCCGACCAGCACCAGCATCGCGGACCGCAAAGGCCGCCCGTCCCGTCAAACAAGTTTCTTCTTAGGCTAAGAAACGCAGTATATACGAGTATCTCTATATATAGTACTAATGGATTTGGTGTGCTTCCCCTTAGCGTCCCTGTCCCTCCGCTCCTCCTCCTTCAGCCTGGTTCCCCCTCTCTGCCCTCCACCCCGTCTCTGCACTGAGATACATAAGAAACAAGGGTAGTTTACTGTCTGTTTTGTTTTCTGGGTTTTCAGTGTCCTAGCGGAATGCAAGTAGGCAGCCAGCCCGTCTGTTCCCTCCCGCCCCGCCCCGCCCGCCCCCGTCACTGCGCTTCTGTTATACCATCTTTGCCTGACTCTCTCCGGCTTCTCCATTGAATGGCTAATGTGTATGTGAAATAAAGAAATAAAGAAAAAATAAAAGCAAGAGCGCCTGAGCCTTCGCTCGCGTCGTCCTGCGGGAACGGGGTGGCTGAGGGCTGGGTGGTCGGCTTCCATCTGCGCCTTCCAGCCCGAGCGCGCGCGCGCAGCGGCCACCATCGCGGGGCGGCTATGCCGGGGCACTCCAGGAGGAGGCGTCATTGAGAAAGGATCTCCGGACCTCCCCCCAACCCCGGGGCCGGAGCCCGGGACACCCCCCCACCCCCGCAATAAAGAAGCACCACTTGGGTCCGATGTCCGCTCTGCCATGTTGGTTCCTGGACCTCTGGGGAGAGGAATGCAAGACCATTTCCAGAGTGCGTGGGTGATGGGGGGACGCCCTTCCAGACCCCTAGGGCCTGACCCATGCTAGGGACCCGTTCTTCGGGGACCCAGTCGCACGGAGCAGGCGCTGCGCGTGACAGTCTCGGTGGCCCCGGGCCGAGGCCCGCGTGCTGCAGGATCACCGCACCTCGGGGCCCACGGCCGCGTGCTCCGGCAGCCCCCG